ACTTCAGTTATGTTAGTTGACTTGATCATCGTGACTTCCTCAAGTCGATTTTGTGGACAGACGAGTCCAAGTTTACTCGGGATTGTATTTACAACATCCATAATGGACATCACTATGCTACAGAAAACCCACATGTGATACACCAGTGTCGAAACCAAACAAGATTTTAGTTGAATAGATTACTCTAAAACCAGTTAGTTGGCCCTTTCATTGATCTTCCATATTCATTAAACTGCTGTCAGTATCTCAATTCTCAACGTTCTTACTGATACTCTACCAAGGCTCATTGAAGACGTCCCGTTGGATGTACGTAAGCGAATAGTTTAGCAAGCATATGGTGCACCTTCCCACTTCAATAATGGTGTGCGAATTTACATTGGAAATACTTTCCCAATGTGGATGAGCTAAGAAATCGGACTTAAGCTTCCAACCTTCTTGAAGAGGAGCTAAAATTAAAGGCAACAGTGAGAAACTTTCGGAAAAGACCATATTTATGACCACATGTATTAGAGCAAAAATGGTGGACATTTTGAAAACTTACTTTGATTAAAAATCCAGAAACCAGACTCTACAGGATTCATTTTGTTTATTTGTACAAATGTACTAACCTCGATTTTTATCAAATTATTTTGAATTTTTGTCATAGAATTATAAAATAATGAAATAGTTAATAATTTAAATGTTTACAAGCCAACAATTAAAATCAGCTGGTTTTATAAACAAAGTTTAACACCCAGCTGATCAGATGTCAGCTGATTATAAGATAGCAAATAAATTAACAGATACTGTATTATATTTGGTTCAATGTTTTGATTCCGAAAACTCTGACCTTGACGCGGTTTTGACCTAATTTTTCGAGCTTTTAATACAGCAATAACCTTATGGATTACATAATTTTAAAGGGCATGAAATGGGAAAGCTTTTTACGTAATTTGACAAAACATCACATTAGTATGTATAGTTGTAAAACCACTTTGAAGTTGTAAAGAATTAATTTTGAAACTTCTTTTTTTATGTTATGTGAGACATACAACGGTGAAAATATGGTTGTATGTTAAAGGTGTTGCAATGGTTTTGTAGGAAATTTAACGCTCTTTTCATTTTTATAAGTTATTATGCTGTACGTGTATTGGCTTAATTTTTATGCTCGTTTTAGTGAAGCTACTACAGGTAATTTAAAAAATTCACATAATCGACCATTACAGCATAACGGGTAGGGATGGAAAATTATTGTTTGTCATTTTTTGTTCCTTTTAGTGAGTAGAATAACTGGTACAAATTAACGCACTTAGTAGAAACTCACCCTGTATAAAAACATCATTTCGCACCGTATTGTCATTGATTTGTGTTTCCGACATCCCTGCAAAACACGTTTGTGGCGTCCGCAGGCGTACCAACCCACATCTATTACAAACCGAAACTTTTCCTGACGCAAATACCTATAAACCATATAGATTTTGCCTTATAGCTTCGTAATTCACTGGACTGCCGCAATCATATTTACCCTGAGTATTCTACACATTGTATATTACCATTAGAATACCTCAAAGTTGATGTGATGGGCTTAGGAAAAAGATTGTGCACTTTTCCTTATGCGAGTTCCTATCAACCATATACATTTTGCCATATAACTTCGTAATTTACAGGACTGCCGCAATCATACTCATACTGATTATTCTACACATGGTATATTACCATTAGAATACCTCAAAGTTGATGTGATGGGCTTAGGAAAAGGATTGTGCACTTTTCCTGATGCGAATTCCTATCAACCATATACATTTTGCCATATAACTTCGTAATTTACAGGACTGCCTCAATCATATTTATACTGAGTGTTCTACACATTGTATATTACCATTAGAATACCTCAAAGTTGATGTGATGGGCTTAGGAAAAAGATTGTGCACTTTTCCTGATGCGAGTTCCTATCAACCATATACATTTTGCCATATAACTTCGTAATTCACTGGACTGCCTCAATCATATTTATACTGAGTGTTCTACACATTGTATATTACCATTAGAATACCTCAAAGTTGATGTGATGGGCTTAGGAAAAAGATTGTGCACTTTTCCTGACGCAAATTCCTATCAACCATATAGATTTTGCCTTATAGCTTCGTAATTCACTGGACTGCCGCAATCATACTCATACTGATTATTCTATACATTGTATATTAGCATTAGAATACCTCAAAGTTGATGTGATGGGCTTAGGAAAAAGATTGTGCACTTTTCCTGACGCAAATTCCTATCAACCATATAGATTTTGCCTTATAGCTTCGTAATTCACTGGACTGCCGCAATCATACTCATACTGATTATTCTATACATTGTATATTAGCATTAGAATACCTCAAAGTTGATGTGATGGGCTTAGGAAAAAGATTGTGCACTTTTCCTGATGCGAGTTCCTATCAACCATATACATTTTGCCATATAACTTCGTAATTTACAGGACTGCCTCAATCATATTTATACTGAGTGTTCTACACATTGTATATTACCATTAGAATACCTCAAAGTTGATGTGATGGGCTTAGGAAAAAGATTGTGCACTTTTCCTGATGCGAGTTCCTATCAACCATATACATTTTGCCATATAACTTCGTAATTCACTGGACTGCCTCAATCATATTTATACTGAGTGTTCTACACATTGTATATTACCATTAGAATACCTCAAAGTTGATGTGATGGGCTTAGGAAAAAGATTGTGCACTTTTCCTGACGCAAATTCCTATCAACCATATAGATTTTGCCTTATAGCTTCGTAATTCACTGGACTGCCGCAATCATACTCATACTGATTATTCTATACATTGTATATTAGCATTAGAATACCTCAAAGTTGATGTGATGGGCTTAGGAAAAAGATTGTGCACTTTTCCTGACGCAAATTCCTATCAACCATATAGATTTTGCCTTATAGCTTCGTAATTCACTGGACTGCCGCAATCATACTCATACTGATTATTCTATACATTGTATATTAGCATTAGAATACCTCAAAGTTGATGTGATGGGCTTAGGAAAAAGATTGTGCACTTTTCCTGATGCGAGTTCCTATCAACCATATACATTTTGCCATATAACTTCGTAATTCACTGGACTGCCGCAATCATATTTATACTGAGTATTCTACACATTGTATATTACCATTAGAATACCTCAAAGTTGATGTGATGGGCTCAGGAAAAAGATTGTGCACTTTTCCTTATGCGAGTTCCTATCAACCATATACATTTTGCCATATAACTTCGTAATTTACAGGACTGCCGCAATCATACTCATACTGATTATTCTACACATTGTATATTACCATTAGAATACCTCAAAAATGATGTGATGGGCTTAGGAAAAGGATTGTGCACTTTTCTTAATGCGAATTCCTATCAACCATATACATTTTGCCATATAACTTCGTAATTTACTGGACTGCCTCAATCATATTTATACTGAGTGTTCTACACATTGTATATTACCATTAGAATACCTCAAAGTTGATGTGATGGGCTTAGGAAAAAGATTGCGCACTTTTCCTGATGCGAGTTCCTATCAACCATATACATTTTGCCATATAACTTCGTAATTCACTGGACTGCCTCAATCATATTTATACTGAGTGTTCTACACATTGTATATTACCATTAGAATACCTCAAAGTTGATGTGATGGGCTTAGGAAAAAGATTGTGCACTTTTCCTGATGCGAGTTCCTTTTAACCATATACATTTTGCCATATAACTTCGTAATTCACTGGACTGCCGCAATCATATTTATACTGAGTATTCTACACATTGTATATTACCATTAGAATACCTCAAAGTTGATGTGATGGGCTTAGGAAAAAGATTGTGCACTTTTCCTGACGCAAATTCCTATCAACCATATAGATTTTGCCTTATAGCTTCGTAATTCACTGGACTGCCGCAATCATACTCATACTGATTATTCTATACATTGTATATTAGCATTAGAATACCTCAAAGTTGATGTGATGGGCTTAGGAAAAAGATTGTGCACTTTTCCTGATGCGAGTTCCTATCAACCATATACATTTTGCCATATAACTTCGTAATTCACTGGACTGCCGCAATCATACTCATACTGATTATTCTAAACATTGTATATTACCATTAGAATACCTCAAAATTGATGTGATGGGCTTAGAAAAAAGATTGTGCACTTTTCCTGACGCAAATTCCTATCAACCATATAGATTTTGCCTTATAGCTTCGTAATTCACTGGACTGCCGCAATCATACTCATACTGATTATTCTATACATTGTATATTACCATTAGAATACATCAAAGTTGATGTGATGGGCTTAGGAAAAAGATTGTGCACTTTTCCTGATGCGAGTTCCTATCAACCATAAACATTTTGCCATATAACTTCGTAATTCACTGGACTGCCGCAATCATATTTATACTGAGTATTCTACACATTGTATATCACCATTAGAATACCTCAAAGTTGATGTGATGGGCTCAGGAAAAAGATTGTGCACTTTTCCTGATGCGAGTTCCTATCAACCATATACATTTTGCCTTATAGCTTCGTAATTCACTGGACTGCCTCAATCATATTTATACTGAGTATTCTACACATTGTATATTACCATTAGAATAGCTCAAAGTTGATGTGATGGGCTTGGGAAAAAAGATTATGCACTTTTTATGTTCGGAGTTTTAATTGATCGCGTTATGTTAAGCCATAGCTACGTATAATGTACACTACGGTCTCAAATATGCCTTTTAAAATACGTCAATTAATTAGTTTTAACTTGTATACACTTTTATCAATGTATAATTGACATTATATAAATATAAAAACATCATTTCGCACCGTATTGTCATTGAATTGTGTTTCCGACATCCCTGCAAAACACGTTTGTGGCGTCCGCAGGAGTACCAACCCACATCTATTACAAACCGAAAAAGCGCCGATGAAAAGAGCCGCTAACTTCACGACGGTCGGAAACCGAGATGTTTACTCCTGTCAAATTGATATCGGATCGCTCAGTGTTCAGTCATTATTAGTGAAGACCTTAGTGTGTGAAGGTTATTATTAGTGTCACTCAAAACAGTGTAAGGTAAAGGTGTATACTTTGTTATACGTGTACCGGTACTGTTAATTGTGATTTTTAGGTGAGGGAACTAAGGATAACTTCATTAATTTTGTCTCGCTTATGTTATTATCATCATGAAAATGTTAAAAACGTTCAGAGCTGTCATCCTTGGAGCTCCAGGGTCTGGTAAAGGGACAATATCTGCAAGAATTGTAAGAAGATTTGATATGGTACATGTATCAAGTGGGGATTTGTTAAGACGTAGCATCGTAGAGGGTTCAAAGGTAGGGTTAGAAGCCAAAAAGTACATTGATGGAGGACAGTTAGTGCCTGATGAAATTATTTTCAATGTCATCACCAGTGAACTTGGTAAACACTCCAAAGAGAACTGGTTGCTTGATGGATTTCCGAGGACTAGGAACCAAGCCGAACAATTATTCTCTAAGGAACCAGTCAGTGTGGCAATCAACCTGATTGTCCCTTTTGAAATCATAATTGAAAGAATCAAAGGTAGGTGGGTACATTTACCTAGTGGAAGAGTGTACAACACAGACTTTAATGCGCCCAAGGTTCCTGGTAAGGATGACATTACTGGTGAACCACTAGTTCAGCGGAAAGACGATCAACCCGAAGCTGTTCAGAAAAGACTAGAGGTGTATGAGAACACCTTCAGACCAATACTCGATTTTTACAGAAGCAAAGGTATCCTGGAAGAATTCAAAGGAAAGACATCCGATGAAATTTGGCCGTACGTCTTCAAATTTCTGTCGTCTCACATAACTCCTGAAATCGAGGAAAGTAGTAAAAATTAAATCACGGGATCAACTAGTTTTTAATTTGACTGTAGGCCTAATTCAGGCTTAGAAAGTTTACTATTTAGGGCTATTCACAGACTACACCATTCTGTTGATAAAGATATTCTTTTTTCTTAGAACGTAAGTTAGCCTATAAGTTAAGCCTGGTAAATAATATATCAAAAAGGTTAACTTAATATCCCAGACAAAAGAACTTAGTGATTTGAAACCTAAACTTAAACTTTGCTTGTAGCCTAATTTCTAACTAGAATGCTATTGAACTATCTTTTTTACCAAATGCTACTAACTTACTACATGACTTGTTTGAACAAGGCCTATCATCATACCGGTAACATTTTATTTCACCACCTGTATCTTAATGATTAGCCTGTCTTATTTTGTAAAGTAACGCATCAATATAAAACTAGGAGAAATAGGGTTTGGTTTGATTCGGTTTTGGTAAGTTTAACTTATTGAATTATGGTATTATTGGCATGCTCGTATATTTAACTGTACTTGGTTTTCTTAACTGATAACTTAGGCTAAACCAAGGTTAACAAGGTTTTTTGTTTAACGATTTCATAAAGAAAGTCACAAAGAACATGCCTTTTCTAATCCTACATGGTGATAGTAGTTTGTATCGAGATGTTAATCTGTCTTAACAAGATGGTATGACAGCAATGTGAATAGCAAGATGCAAAACTTGATAAGTAAAGGTTTGTGAAATACCCACATTCATCACTTATACTTACTGTGATCATGGGATTAGCTTTTAAAAGTGGTCTAATAGGCAATTTTATATTTCATAAGCCTTATAGGTCTAATATCACAATCATTTAAGAAAAATTCAAGTTTAGCCAAACATGCACAAGATAATACTTTTGATAAGTATGTTCTTATTTTAGTTTTGGTTAGGTTCAGTTCTTCACAAACATTTGTTAACTAGAAACCAACTAACAGGTAAGGTCTCTTTGATGAAGCCCAAAATCTAAAGACTATTCAATCGTAATTTATTCCTTTTGCCATTAAATGAGTTTGACATAAGAACTACCGGTCCCGTACTCAGAGATTTATCCATAATACAAGAATCTTGATTTTAAATAGGGCCTAAGTAACTTTGTTTCATTTATTTTTATAAAGGGTATTTGAATTATTAGGCCTAATACTGTACCTTAGATTATTATTTCTATTTTATTTCAAGCCTATTTTTATTACTTACTTTGTGACAAACTTATAAGTTTAGTTTTTTATAATTTTTGTTAACTTTCCACCTTTCTGCTTCCTTCTATGTTTTTTAACTTATCCCAGCCATTTATTTTCTTGCAATGTTACTATTGTAGACCTGAATTGACCAATATTGAAAGAAAATGGCTGTAAACTCTTTGACACGCAAGTAAGTTAGTGAGATGTGTTACTTAGTGGTCTTTGATTTATATCTTAATAAAAAATTACAACCCTCTTGTATACGATTGTAAAGTTGTTCCTATAAACACGCACAAAAAGGCTGACTTATGATTTAGGCTATATACTCAGTAAAGTATCCTTATGTATGTATAGGCTTATAAAAGGAGTACCGTAGCCTAATGAATTTTTATAAATAGCTTTTTCCAAAGTCTATTTCTGTGGTTTTAGAAGAAGCCAGGAAAACACTGTGAACAACTGGTTAAACTGTGAGATTAAACAATTGAAAAAGTTAACTTGTAAACAGTCTAAAAGCTGAGAATAACTATAATTTTGACCCTTAGACTAAACCAATTCCAATATTGGATCATTGAGATAACCTTTCTTATCACTTTGAACACTTGAGGAAGTGAAATATAACACTTTATAATGGCTTACCATAGACAAATTGTAATTGAGAAATGTCATTACTTTAAACTATGATTATTCATTCTGTGGTTATTTCATATTATTTTGTTTTCATAGAGAAACATTATTATTTGGGCTATAGGGCTCAATTAAAAATCACCCTCGCGTCTCATTTTCAATTCAAGTATTTTGTAGGAATTTTAAAATGCTCAATAATTAATTGTAAGATGTTTGTACAATTTGGTAAATATTGACAAGAAGCACAAGAATGCACAATCAATTTTTCATTAGCCTCTGTAAACATTATTTATTTGATTAGGCATACTTTTAAAAACACATTTGAACCAAAGACAAATGATAATCTATGATAGTGAATGACATGTTTGTTATGTATTTTTTTTATTCTGCCAAAACAACAAATTATTTAGATTGCTTACTTAGTTGTAGTATGCCCTATCCCTTTTTCAGAGTTCATCGTTCCTAATCCATATTTCCTGTTGCAAATTACACATCCCTGACAGTGGTGTAGTCGTAAAATGTACAGTGTGGGAATATTCACCATAGACTAAGAACTGACTATAGGATTAATAGATTGGACAATAGGAAAAGACAAAGTGGGAAAGCCTTTCCCACTCCACTACACCAGTGATCTCGGACTGAAAACCTATAATCTAATTACAGGTGAAAAAATTAAACTCACTACTAATTTTCTATAAAAACAAGTGATATAAATTAACTGATTTTACTTGGTATAACATTTTAATTTACTTATCATACATATCTTTGATTAAAATGCAAATGTCATAGCCTATTTATTCAAAATATTCCTTCACAAGGTTAAATTTACATTAGTTGTTAATACATTTAATGTAATTTTTGTTTCAGAGATATTTTATTTTAAATGCATTTCTTTACATTCAATTAATAAGAATGTTTGTTACTATTTCTCATAAGTTACCTGAATACTGATTATGTTTTCTTTATATTTTTAACGATGATCTAATTTATTGTTATGCATAAACTATATTTTTATCATTATTTAATCACTGTAAAACGGATCTAGAGTATTTCCATGGCATTTAACAAACAAGCTACGTTTTCTAATCAAATATTTCAAATAACGAGGATCCTATTTTAATCTAATATAAGTTAGACTAGTGTATGTTACCAAATTATTGTTACAATTGTTACAAAGGAAAAGGACTGAGCTATGTGATCAAATAATGGAGGAGCAAACTATAAAATGTTATTTTGTGACGGAAGTTTTCTGTATGCTGTAAATTGACACCAAATATTAAAGTTATTGTATATTTGTGAGTGTTATTCATTCAAATCCTGTGTTCCTTGCGTTAACTAACACCATATTCAGGTGAAATTTCTGGATCTGCACAAATTTCTTAGATCATGAAGTAGTGTTTTCATGGACCTGGTTTTGTTTAATTATAAATTCAAGAGCGACCTAATGATTTACAAGCTAAATTAAAACGGTAGGTTAGCAAACTGCACCTTTCATCATTCTAAAAATAATATCATTAGTTTTGAATATCTTGCCGCTTTTACGTTGACAAATTAATGTAGAAGCAACTTGTAGATTCTTGTTGACTTTCAAAGAAACATTCAACATGTTTTCATTGCTGTGATAAATTTAACAAGGAATGCACATTTTCATCCAATGTTATATGTATGATATTTTATTGACTAAAGTAAAAAATAAATAAATAAATAAAAATAGTTTGCATTGCATCCTTGTCATTAAAAAATGAAAAAAATCAAACAAAACAATCTCCTTCTTATGCAGATTCAATGATGATTGGGAGTGTAATTTCACAAGGTTTTTAGTTAAGACAATAACATGAGGAAAATAAAATAAATCGCCCATCTTACTTAAATAATTTATTAAATGAATACTAAACAAATATCTTACAGGAACTATAAAAATAATATACTGCACAATTCAACACATGAACATTATTTATCATAAAGAAATATGTACTGTATTTTGATTTTGCATATTTGGGTTTGTAAAAAAATTAACAGCCATTTTACTAGTTCATAGCCTGTAGTACCAGAGTTTTAACCTTTTTTGAATGTTTAAATATGCTACAGGCAATGATGAGGGAATACTATTTTGTGTGCTTTGTGAAATCTATGAAGAAGAAACCTGCTGTAGCAGTATTTAATATACATTTAATATTGTGTATATCATGAATGCTAGTAAGAGTGATATTTCAAATCAAAGGAGGAAAAAATATATACTTATTGCAATTGTTAAATATCTCAATGACTAAAGGCGAGAGATTTTATTCTCTAAGAACAAGTTAACCTACTTTTTACATTTGAATTCGGGGATGTCTGATTCTGAACAGCCATCTTCCAACAAATCACATTTGTACAAAATTGAATCCAAATAATAATCTGAATTGAGGCATTGTCTTTTTTTAAACTTCTAATACTAAGATAAACATAACGTCATGTAATTTAAGGCACTGCTGTAGAATTAAGTTGTATTCATTTTTAATACTCATACGACATACACACTTTACAGGACTTTAATGAAAAACAACATTGCCGCAGATCAAGTAAACATAAAAACAAGTTTGCGTTAATAAAAGTGATTAATACAAAATATTTCATTAAAAACAGAAATGCTATTAAAAATTAAAAATAATACTTGTCAAAACTCATAACTATATCAAATTTTTATTTTAATGGTCTATCACGAACATTACGTACCAAGGTTTTCTCAGACAATTTTCAGATACAGCATAAAAACAAAGATATGGCAGAATATTACACTTTCAAATCCTATAACAAGAGTATGCGGAAGATATGTGAACAATTATTGATGAACAAGGCACAAAAACTATTAGTTGTCCTAAGCACATAAGAAACGATGCACTATACTAATACTTAATATAGGTATTTTAAATTGAAATGGCGACATTAATTGTGATTTTAACAATTGTATAGCATAAGTGATTCATCGATAGCATTTCCATCATGTAAATTGGCCGTAGCAGAAATTTTGACTTGATCTGTTTTAGTAAAATTGCAATATGGTTAGGGTACTTAAGACCAAATAGTAACCAAAAACATGATCTATGGAAGCACAATGGCAATGGAAGGAAAACAGAATGAATCAGTAATTGGGTAGGATTTTCTAGCTTTGTAAAGAGAAGTTTGATTTGTCAATTTCTCAATTTTATACTTTCTCACCCAGGCTAGTGAACATGAGGTATTTAAATAAGCAAGTTTTATCTTAGATATTTGTTAACCAGATGACAATGAGACCAGATGTTAGTGAGTCGGTGGCTCAGTCGGTAGCGTCGCGGACTTCGGGCTCAAGGCAGTAGTGTCGTGGGTTCGGATCCTGGTCACTGCCGATAACATTTTATCAGTACAGTTCACCTTTGTACTGTACCGGCTCACTCCTTGCTTTGCTGTAAACGATCCACGCACGGGCGCTTAGTCTATGTGGACGGGCAAATGCAAGGTTAAAAGAGGCTGCCAACCTCTTAAATAAAAAAAATAAAAAAAAAAATGGACGCGTTCAGTTTGTGGTTCAGTTTTCAGTTGACTCTCTCATTTGGATTGGACGAATAAATGCTTACGACTAATGCACACAGCGCTTTATCCACGGTCATGTTAAGAGACAATCACTGTTTGATAAGTACAGCTGAATTAATACAATATATCTGCTAAAAAACATGCAGACAACATATTTTGTTAAATAAAATTGATATAAAAAAAACAATGCGAATGACATTCTCTACTGCCTGGGATATTTCGTGTTTAAAAATACATAGGTTGGCAGCACTTAGCGATTGAATCTGTGGGAAAATGGTCGTGTTGGCACTGGCACAGCCAGAACATTTTTGGGTGTTTTGAAGATATTAACTCTTATCAAATGCAACGTTGTTTGGCAGAGCTATTTAATTGGTAATATTGTATACATATTGTGTAGTTTTGAAACAAATCCAAAAATATTGTATTGATCATTCAAACTTATTTTAGTTCAGACAAAGGTGTCGCCCCGAGATGTATTCATTTAAAAATACATAAACTTAAAACGCTTGAAAATTAAGTTTGTCTTATAGTCTAAAATATGTATCGTAACAGCTAAACGTATAAAATATCACATGGTGAGGCTTTAAAAGCTTTTAAGCTACAATCAGTTTGATTTTTGGAAGCAAGAAAGGAAGACTTGCTATGCAAGCTGAGCTTGAGGAGGAATGTGTTTTCTAAGTGTTTTGATTTAGTTCCAGTTTCTCTTCCCATCTTGCCAATTAACTTGTTTCAAGTAAAATTTTACTATTATTTAGAGTTGTAAGCAGCCAATGTATAACCAAGCAAATATACAATTATTTGCCTGACAATGTATTCTATGAGGTGAAATCTCACCACTATATTCAATACTTTTTTCAGATTTTAACATCTTTGTAAATTTACTTGAAACAAATTAATCACGTAGAGTAAATTACTATACAGGGGCTACTTTGTAGCCCTTGATTATTTTTCAATACATACCTGTGCACAGGTAAAATTTATCTTGTCTTTGAAACAATGTACTTTTAAAGTACGATTCTAATACTATTTACAGTTAACAAGTATAACATTTACCTCTTCTTTGCTCTAGTAATTTTATATCTAAGAGTGAAATAGAGAGCCATTTGACTTAAGATAACTCCAAAGATGAGGACGCAGACGTTATCCCAGTAGCTTCCCTGTTCAAGTCCCATTTCTTCTAGAAACTTCTTTGGTCTACGAAAGTGACAGTAGTCTTCCTGGCAGTCTAACAGGCCGCGGTCAAACCCAAACACTGTCAGAGCTGCTGCTTCCAGACTAGACAGATTTCATAATGAACAAAATTAATTTATCATGACCATGAGTTTTTTTTTTTCAAGACTTAGTAACTTACAATGTTAAGATTTAAAAAAATGTTTTCTTATACAGTAGAGTCCCGCAAACTCGGCGTAATGTGGACTGGAAGGGCGCCGAGTTTGTGAAATGCCGGGTTATCGGGTACTAGGGTTAAAAATAAGAACTAAACAATTTTTAAGCTTTTTAACCGCCTTTTTTATTTATATTTATATTACAAGTCATCAGATATAGTACAACAAATCCTTGGTACGAGTTGTGAATGATTTGACTTTAGCTGGCTTTGTCTATGTTTAACTCAGACTCAAAAAATCACTAATTTTCTGAGACGGTGATGGCCGAGTTATCCAGACTGCCGGGTTATCGAGTTCCGAGTATGCGGGACTCTACTGTAGTTTATTCTAGCAATAAACTGTTCCCATATTGGTTATTACAGTATACTGTAACTCCAATTATCCTAACTTTCACTATCCGAATTGTCGATAGTCCGAATCGTTAAAAAATCATTTGTTTAAAAATCAAGTTAAAAAAGAGTTGTGTCTTTTCATTGCATATACAGTTTTGAGAATGGTGTATAGCCTCCACTACTTTGGAAAAATATGTTTGATTAAAGAAAAGTGTTGTCATAAGACAACTAGTGAAACTTTTCTGAGAGGGTGTGCTAGTGAAAGCCGTCACCATGTATATACAATGTATGCTTTTCTTACCCTTTGCCTTTGACCAACCTTTTTTGATACATTATCACTCTTTTTATTTAATTTAGAAGTCAGAATATAGGCATCTGAATAAATTTCCCAGTCAAACAATCTAGTTAACAATTCTTGTGCTTGTTTCTAGTTTCATCAAAGGAATATTTTGTTTATATACTGTACAGCTGGCACACCTGTAGCGGAAGATGCTGAAGTACGACAGCCACCTCATGTATGGAGAGAGGTCATTGAGATGGATGAAGAAACCAGAGATGAGGAACATGGGCATTGTACAAGACGCCACCAGAAATATGGCCAACTGTGGAACAGACAAACCTGGGTAAAATACTTACAATGATAATCAAATTAAAAGTATACATGATTGTTTATTACCCTCATTGTTTATTACCAAACCTTCCATATTTATTTTAATCCTTGATCTTAAAAAACATCAAAGGCTCTGGCCCCCTGAGCTTTCTAAGTTGACATGTTGACCTTCTGAGAAATTATTTTATTAATTGGATTTATAGACTTTTCTCAGGTAGGATTGAAGTGGAAGAGTAGATTTCTCAAAACCTCAATTTCAAGATTTCTTTTATAAAATGCACACTATGATTATCAAATGTAACACCAATAGATTGCTGTGAATAATGAAATAAAGCTTGTCAACAACACAAGTGCGCCTCAACATATTAAAAAAGTTCAGTTTCATTGTTAAGAAAAGAATGTTTAAAAACCAAATTTATTTGGTTTTATTCAGCAACTTAAAATCTGCTACATTTCAGATAAGAGGATTAACACAATCACAAAACTATAAACCTTTCATACATAAACAAAACAATCTTAACTGTGCATGAAGAGTAATCTCGGTGCATGGCAACGCTGGTGGCGCTGCCTACGATTGACAGGCAAAGCTCTCTCAAAACACTTAATGCTTTTTACCATGCGGTTGGCATTCTGGGTTATAGTAATATGTTTTCTGTGGTGTAAGTGACTAGGTGCGCTAAGGATTATTATTGTTACTTCAAATGTACATTACTTTAAGGAACATTTAGATAAACAAGCATATGTATATGAAATGAAAAAAAAAATAGCTTAAGATATGAAACTGTTTCATAATGTATAATGATCGGTGATCACATGATATATGATGAATAAGAGATATGAAACCGTTTCATGTATTCCTCAAATAAGGCGTTTCTGATTTTTCTAGGGTTATTGGTAAATTAATTTCTCCAATGATCTCAGATCAAGATGAGGCAAGCTGGTTCAAATGTGACAACAGTGCCATGTTCTCTACTTCCTTAAGCATCAATCTAGCTAGTTCTAACCTCTACATGACACCACTTAGTCTTGTCATAGGAGCCAATAACAAAGAAAAGGGAAAGAGGGTTTATTTGTGCTACAGGAGTAGTGGTGCAAATGTGTATGGCCTTCTGCAAGCTCCCCAAACTTCTTGGGCTGATTTTTAGGTGTATACACTTTTTCCATAACTATCCGTAAACAGCAACAGATTTTAATATGGATTTAACCCCCTTCCTATCCAATTATGATAACAGAAGGCAATTCATACTAGGCAGGAGCTAAGATGCTGCTTTATACTAGGCCATTCATCACATTGAATACTTACTTCAAAAGTAATCGTCGCATATAAGTAGAACCTAGCTTGACTAGTGTTTAAGAAAGAAGAAAACACGGTGCTAGTTTTACATTTGAGCTAGCTCGCTTCGTCTTGACTTTGTCACATTGGAGACCTTAAATTACGAACAGCCCTCATAACAATGAAAAGATGATCACATCATTAAGCCTAACAGCTCCAACGCCCATTGCTAAGATAAAATATAACAGAGTGTATAGTGGATTTACCTGAGGATGGAAGACAACTCCAAAGGCGCAGCCGATAGTCTGAGCCAGAATAGTGAGAGTGACACTAATCAACAGAAACATGAGGTATCTGTCCCACACTAACAGCTGACCTGTCAGATAGTATGTGATGGACAAGAACAGTGTAGGACATAATACCTGGGAACAGAAATAAGATTTTTTACAATGAGGAAAATGCATTATGCACTGTTAGTGTCTAGGTGTGTTTACCCTAATGTAGCACTCTCACACGCTAAAAACTTATTCGACCAGGTAATGGAAGCCATCTCGGAAACACTGTTTATTTTACTTCAACGGGTGCCTTTGTACGCCATAGATGGCATTCTAGCGACTATGTTTCACCAGGTTTTGCTGCAATGGTACATCACAGCTGTTCTGCTTTCTTCTCTTCCAGAACTCTCCTGAATGCAGAAACAGTGTTCCATGATTCCAGACTAGACACAATAAATGAACGTGTGTCAAGGGAGATCCGGCCAACGGTCGTTTTAAGGTCCCTTCTGACCGCTTCCCACCTCGTGTCATGGAGATGGTATGCAGGACATCATTGCAGTCATTGAACTGACATTCCAGGCTCACTAACTTTACTATCTTTTCAGGAGCATCGCTGACTACAACTGTGTTTGGAATAAAATCTACCTCTCTGTGCTCTCGCTCAACGCACTTACAGAGATTCCCAATGAGTCTCAGCATCCATATTCCTCCACCCAGCAGTGTCGCCAATCCTCCATATAGTGTATTCTTTGGCTTCAGTATCACTCAAAGCACCAGTCCCATCAAAAATGTACTTCTGCTCAAAAACAAGAATCATTGGGAATCACCCCAGCAATTGCAATGACAGCTGGCTCCGACACTGTGCAGTAGGCTGAAGCGATCTGAAGAGCACTTCTCCTCTAGACTGCTACCGTCTTTCCTCTGCGTTGTTTCTTTTTGAGGACCTCTGACCATGTCTCCAAGTACAGAATGGACTACGGACATCATCACCATCTCCTGCATAGTCGTTGTTTTGGTTGTGGAAAAATCGGGAATATCTCTTGTTATCACGGCAAAAATTGTGTCAAAATCATGAACATCTTCTGTGGTCTAGGAGACATCTTTATTGTCCCTTACGATTGCGGAAAAATCATCAAAATCCCTTGTAATGGTGGTAAATTGTGAATTTTCTACTCACGCAGCCCTTGTTGCTATAAAAAATAAAGCTAATACTCCCACTTACACGACTAGAATATAAATGCCATAAACTAAGCTTGGCGTGTACTTAAGTGACTCCCATTGATATGTGATTGGTATTTAGTTCACATTTCGTGTATTAGCTGATAAAATAATGTGTTTATGTAAATCTACAGTTAAACAGCTCAGTGGAGTAACAATGACAATAGTTTTATTTACCGGTATTCTATCCTACTCTTACAGTGAAGTGAAGTCTATATCAAATGTTAGATAATCTAAGAGCATTTTAAGTTTGTTGGTGGAGTTTAAATGCGAAGTCTACTCACCATGAGTGGAAGATCTGCTAGTACTTTAGCCAAGTAATACATACTCAACGAGTACCAATTGTTGAAATGTTCTCTTACTATCACACTGGCTTCCATGGGAACTGAAAACAAATCATAACAAAGCCCCATGAGTTTTTATTGTTTTCTTTTGGTAAATTTTACCATGATTTCACTCATCTTATGGGCACAAAATATCAAACAAGTCTTTTATGGGCACACCAGTAGTAAAATGCCTTTTTTTCGGCCTTCGACCAGCATTTTAGGTTTTTTGTGCAACCCCAAATAATTTGATGCTAAGTCTCAATAATCCAATTCAAAATGTCTGCAATATAAACCATTACACAACATACACATAAATCTAAAGTTTATACTTCAACCATGAATGTAGATTTTCTTTGAACAAAATATTACTTACACGTTAAAGTGGTGTGCATTGCTGTTCCATAGAAATGAAAAATTACGATGAAGAATATACACGAGTAGTTACTGGAAACCTTGGATCCGTCGTTTCCAAAATCGTAATAAACAACTCCTAATAGCAAGGCCACTAAAATATGGGCTGTAACCCTTAGGAAGGCCAGTCTCTGAAATTAAAATAGCATTTATAATAGAATTGTATATTAGAAATTAAACAATTAAAAAATAACCTTATATAATTTAATACCTATAAGAAATAAAAATCAATTTATTGCAAAAAAAAAAAACAAGTAGATGTAACTTACTGATGTACGTACTAGGTTTTGAATGTGTATTTGACTGTCTCTTCAAAGTGGATACCAAGTGATTAATATATTTATTTAAATTCTTACGCTTTTTAGGAGAGGCTAAAAATTATAAAATCTACAAAGTTGAGATAAAAGAAATACTTCATCCAAGTAAAATCTATTTCCTGCCAGATACAAAAATAAGTTCGAAATGTAGGATATTTTAAGTACACTTGTCTCTCTGACAAATAAGGCAATGAGATATTGTGTAAAACTACCAAATAAGTTGGGTTATCCAGAGAGAAGTAAGAAAGGAATGATACGTTCAATGGTAGGCCTACTTAAGTGCTGGTGTCTAGAGCGAATTCTATTTGTCGTCCCCTCCGCTCTCCTTTCCCCTTGCCATCATGTAGTGCAGCGCTTACGCAGGAAGAGACCCTGTTAGCTACATCTGCTGTAGAAATATGCTATGTGGCCATCGCCGTTCGGACTCTTCCTTGCTTGATACTAGTACATTTCCGCCCCAACAAACCAGAGCTAAAGGTGCACGGTTGTCCTAAAAGCTTGTATCCTCTATATCTTACTTCTCAGTGGATTATCAAGATTTGTTTATTAATGCATTTGATTCAAGATCTAGCACATATGACCATTAGGTTAATTAATTTATAATGCATTATTAATAACTAGAGTTTGATTGCAGTTTACAAAACCAATGAAATAAAGTACTAAAACAAGCAATGAAGGTGAGTGTCTAGCACCAAGGTACTACCAAGTAGGTCCGGATTAGTACATCATAAAATTACATTGGTTGTTCCCTTAAAATATCTATGCTTATAAAAACATAAAACATACTTACCAAGTCTCTAAGATTGCATATAACTGAACGTTTCAACAATATTTGAAGCTGTGTGAACCTTGGTACAGCATAAGTGCCTTCTTCTTTCATATTGCGCAATTCTGTTTTGATTGATTCTCCATTTCCCATTAAATTGATTGTCACTAAGCCATCCTTGTTATTGGTCAACATACAACCTGTAAAACATAGATTTATTAAAACACTTAACAGATAACAAGTGATAACAATTGATCTCAGCACTTGAAAGGCCAGACACAGTTTTAGTGGTGTTTACTTCAACCTTTAGGGGATTTTTTTTACTTTTAGAAGCGATAGTAAAGTTTTATGGTATCTGTAGTGCAAAATCATTCCTTAATAGGCATTATTGAAAAAAAATACAGTTACAAGGAATAGACACTTGAAATCTATTTTATTCCAGGCTTGAAAAAACTCAGACTGTAATGGTACAAAATATGGTTTATAGAGAAAAATCGAAAAGATATACTATTTTTATGTGGTTTTTCAATTTAATAAATGGTCATTCTTGGGTCATTCTTGTCATATTTTGAGTTTGTAGACACTATCTGTTTCTGTGGTTTTGTCTGAGAGCTGGTAGTATGATTTGCAAAATAGTTGAAATTTACGTATGGGAGGATAGAGAATAAGGTTTTGGCCCTACATAGTGATCTGGTATTTACATTTTGTATCAATACCATTATATCACAGATATACCTACTGTTCTCATTGGCAACTGACTTATCGTTGCAGGATGACAAGGTAATGTGTTCATCTTTGTAAAAGCTGCCACTTCGTTTATGGTGTTTTTGAACTGCCATGGTTACCAGCTCATCAATGTGGTCCCCTCTCTCCTTGCAAGCCACTTCCAAAGCTACAACAACAACAATAGAATAAACGCAATAGATTCAGACATGAGCATCCCCAATGAATGTCTATAAAAAAATACTCTTGATGACGAGTTCATCAAGCTAGAGTAAGAGAACAACCTATAGATAAACTGAAGATGTAGTTGTTGGAAGTTCATATTGGTCCCAGACACAGTGCCGGATTTACCACTAGGCCGACTAGGCCTCAAGCAAGAGAGGGCTGCAAAGGATTGACAAAAAATATCAATTTGCTGCAATTACAAAGGATAAGCGATGATGAAGTCCCCGTGATTGCGACTCAAATTTATCCGCGGTCGCAGGAATAGAATAGAATAGGATGTTCTCGATTTTGCTGCGGTCGTGGGTGTCGTCGATGATATAGTCGTGATTGTGACCAACAGTATATGTTCACGATTTTGCCGCGATTGTGGGTGTCGACGATGATATCCTGTGATTGTGACCAACAGGATATGTTCACGATTTTGCCGCGATTGTGGGTGTCGACGATGATATCCTGTGATTGTGACCAACAGGAGATGGTCACGATTTTTCTGCGGTCACTGGTGTCGATGATGATGTCTCTGTAATCGCGGCCCACGGGAGATGTTCACGATCTTGCTGCAGTCGCGGGTATCAATGATGATGTCCCTGAGATTTTGACCAACAGATGTTCACGATTTTGCGGCAGTCCTGGGTGTCGCTGATTATGTCCCCATGGTCCACCGTAGAAGTTAAAATGAAATGATAATCCTTCTTAATCGAGGCGAACTTAGGACTTCATGGTCCTTTCTTACAATTAACTAAGTTCATAAATTTTTACCGCAATCACACGGAATTTCCACAACAGTGGTGGGGGCTGCTCGTGGAATTGGGCCTAGGGCTGCAGGTACCCTGAATCCGGCACTGCCCACACATTACTGGTGTATCATGGTCAGGTTGAGCGAGTAATACAACATATAGAACAATAGGTTTGGTTCGTTTTCAATAGTAGGTAGGTAAATATTGATTGCTTTTCAAACAGTAGCCTAAATACTTTACAACCCAAAATTATATCTTTACAAATTAGTATACTAAAATACTTTTTTAGAACGAAAACAAATCTCACCGAAATCAGCACGGTTATAATACTGAGGACACTGCAGTCCGATGGCACTAAGGGTAGGGAGCAGATCTTCGAGGGTGCCGTTGTAGAAACACCTTCCCCCAGAGAGCAGCAGCAGGTCGTCAAGCAGCTCCAGCAGCCGAGAGCTGGGAGAGTGTATGACTACGATGACGGTTCTGCCTGCATGGGCCAGGCTCTGGAGATGTGTCATCACTTGGAGAGAGGAAAAACTGTCCAAACCACTGGAACATATGAATTATTTTATGAGTAGATACAGTTTATTGCTATACAGGAAGTCCGGTAAGTAAGTACAACAAATTTAGAAATAGAGGTTTAATGGGTCAAAATAGCAGAAAAATCCAAAACAAAATTTCTTTGAAAATGTATCCTTAGCAAATATTCACTGTTTTGTTGTTTTATGTTTTAAATTTATATCTTAGAATTAGAAACTATTGAAAATAACTTAATTAAATTTGGTATACAATTTTATCAAATCATTAGCTATTTTAGAAAAAATAATCATAAAAACTGTTTGTTTACAAAATGGCGGTAATTATAATTTTCATAACTTAAATTACTGAAATAGGGCTGATTTTATGACAAAAATTCCAAGAAAACTTGTATTTAGCATTTTAATTTTCTTTTAATCAACATAAAGTTATTTTAATCTTTCAAAACAAAAATGTAAGTCTATGGTATACTATGTTCAGATCTGATTGTAGGTTTAGTTGTATGGAGGACAAGGCTTCGCGTCCGCTGGACTAGGAGCGTTGCCGCAACGACTCTCCCCATTCCACTCAGAGAGAAGGGTGGTTGCTATGATGTCAAAATTATGGTACGTTTTGTCGTCAGGAGATGTTGGTGAGTTCCCATACCAGGTAAATCTCTTTGAACCAAAACGGCCTTTAAATTCCAACCATTTATATACCGAAGATTAAGCCACCCGAAATGGCCTCACCCGCTTTATTGGTTTATGGTTTATGGAGGTTTTAATGAACAAACAAAACTATCATAACCAATTACCACTGTACCTTGTTGGTTCGTCAAAGAACATGATCGGAGGGTTGGTCACCAGTTCCATTCCGATTGACACCCGCTTCTTCTCACCCCCAGACAAAGAGTGGACTTTGGACTCCAGCACTCCCGTCAATCCTAAGGTTTTGGCCACTTCTTCTACCTTATAAAACAGTTTATCAGTTAGACTTGGAAATGGTAAAATATAGACTACACTTACATCTGTGAACTACCAGCACACACCAGAAACCTATTAATTACCATAAAAAATTTGATGTATTACCATGTGTTAAAACTCCACATAGAGAGCCCCAATAAATTTTAGTGAAAGAGAAATCTATGTTTGATCGTAAACTTTAAACAAAATTAGATCCTGGTGCATCTATTTAACTGGTATAGCACAATAGCTGAGGAAGCAAAATATTAGCTTTAAAATCTACTATTTGTCTATTATTCCTCTGAAGAATAGAGCACATTTGTGTTTTATAACATGTTTTCAAACAAAACAAATAACCATTAGGATGTAAATAACTTCTTGATCAGTATTGTAGTGTTACTTTACTGAAAGTACATATAATTACGTCTAATAACACTTGTAACGTATATTTACACTTATACTGTTGACTCACATGACGGTAAATACATATAAAAATGGTAAGTGGTAATGAAGTGTCCAATTGAAATCGCCCATGTAGCACAGATGGTTGGGCCAACGTTGGCCAACTGTGGGACAGTTGGTCGATGGTTGGTTGGAGTTTCCACAACCAACCAACCGTTGTCCAACTGTATATCTCGTAGTTGGGCCAACCAATATTTACAACTGTGGACCAACATTGGTTCATTGTTAATGAAATACATTAATATGAATTGCTGGGTATCATACATCAAGCCAACCGTTGTCCAACCGTTTTTCACTCCGTTGGACCAACAAAAGATACTTTTGTAATGGAGTACTTTAGTACTTTAGGAGGACTTTAGTACTTTTGGTACTACTTGATAATGGACCAACGATGGTCCATAGTTGAGTTTACACGACTTTCATTCTCTGGGTCTAGCTTTCACAACATAATTATAATAAAATATCTGGTTTTACAATACCTTTATCAGTTCCAAAAGTTTCCAAAAGTTTTTGGAACTGATAAAGGTATTGTAAAACCAGATATTTTATATATTACAGTTCCGGGGCTACAACAATGAATTTTAATAATTATAATAATGCAAATATTTTTAAAATTAATATTCTTTAACTTATTTGCAACAATTTAAGGGGAAAGAGTAATTAATCATATAACAGTCAATTATAATAGCATTAATAATCTAACGGTAATTAATTAATCTATATTCAAATACCAGTATCCTCTCTAACAAAAAAAAAAAAAAAATAACTACTTATGATGCCTTAACAGATTAACAGAATCATATTATACTGTGTAGTATCAAAAATGTTTGAAGTATTGCGACTATTGCAACTGTCGGCTACTCTTTCACCACTTGAAAACTCTCTATATCAACAATCACAGATAGCTCAGTGGTAAGGTAAGAGGCTCATAAGTCGAAGGACCCGGGTTCGAGACACGTCTGGGCCAAAAAATTTTGTTCTAGCTTTTTTTCAAAATGTGTTTTTATGAACTATTTAATCAATTTACTCAACTAATAATTATGCTTTTCGTACTAAATCTTTATTATTTTGTGTGAAATAAAACGGTTGGTTGGATATCAGTTGTGTTATGGTTAGTTGGCCATCAGTATTTTTGGATGGTTGGGCCATTGTTGGACAATGGTTGGCTGGAAAACAGTTTAAAGAGGTGACATTTCTACCGTTGGCCAACTGTGTGGCTCCCAGTGTTGGGGAAGCTACTTTTAAAATGTAGCTAGCTACAACTACTGCTACATTTCTAAAAAAGTAGCTTAGCTACAGCTACAACTACAGCTCCGAAAAAGTAGCTAGCTACAACTACAGCTACAATGAAATGTAGCTACAGCTACAATTTTAGCTACTTTTCCAAAGACGTTACTTTTTATTCCTCGCACATTAGGTAAATGTAAAATCAATTGTAACTACATTTTTATCCAACAAACATTAAAAAAAATGTCAGTATTGTATCTACCTAGATACCTCTAGATTGCATTTAATTTGTTGGCATTATAAACCTAAAATTACAACAACAGAACCAAATAGTTGGGTGTCCCATCATATTTAGTACTTATTTTTAAATATTGCATTATTTTTAAGCATCTTATACGTAAATTTCATTAAGTTCAAAGGACATACAACAAAACTATATTTTAAAACTCATTTTATTTCTTTAATATAGATTCATTTATGGATGTCTTATATCAACAATTAAGACCAATAAAACTGTAAAACGATTATTTAAAAATACGTTTTTGTGTTACAGAGCCTAGCCTACCTTTGGAAATTGGAGTTATTACCTTTCTTTACTTTTAATGTTAAAAACGACATTGATATACGAGTAACTTTTAACCATAGTGATAAGTTACTTGTTCTATGAATAACACTTTTCAATGTCAAGAAATCGTCCTTTGTCATTATGCATAGGGCAAATTGTGCTTCAACCTAATTGGTACAGAAAACAGTATTCAGCAACTTAGCCTGAAATCGGATTTTGATTTAAACATGTAGAAATTTGTAAAGTAAAAATAACATGTAGGCTTTATTGGCTATCTAACAAGTTGGCTAGAGATTTTCATTCATTAACGGCCTTAGAAATTATGACAGGCTTGTTCTTGCAAGGACTAAACAGGTATATATTCCTAATAATTTAACTTGGAACTTGGTATTCGTCTTAAATCATAGCATAGCCTAGGAATAGTCCTATACAAGAGCTGTTAGCAGGAGTAAACAATGCTATTTTTTTCAATCTAAGTTTCATGTTATATGGAGACATTTTCGTTACAATTATCATGTAGTCTAGGCATATCTTAAATCTCTTTAGGTAATTTCCTCTTTGTTAATTTAGTAAACCTTTGAAAAATCTTCGTAATCTAACCAAGGAAGGGCTTGTGATGTGATGATGAACCACAATCAACAGCTGAAGCTAGACCAGTTTTCTCATTATTTTAAGGTTTAGTGTTGGTTTCCATTAAAACCCAAGTTGAAACACTATCAATTTAATAAAGAAACTAAATTGATTACTAATTTCCCTGTCAATCACTTGCAAGCATTCAATAGCTTTCTCTTGTCACTGGTAACGTCGTCTGCAACTAGCGATTTTATTTTATCTGACAGTAAGTAGTAAATTAAGGAAATGAGAGCCAAAAATGTGGATAACACCCATTTAATGGCCTCCATGTCCACACAACGTTGTAATAGGGAATGAAACGGCTGCAACCAGCTGTATGAAGCCAAGAAAGTAGGCCTAATTTTTTTTGAAAATCTCAGTTTGAAAGCGGTTGTTTCACGTAAGGTTGAGGTTATGATAAAAATCACTATCTCAAACAATGTTAATGTAGCGAGAAAAGTAGCTAAAATTCCGCTACAACTACTTTAAAAATGTAGCTAGCTACTGCTAAAGCTACAAAATCTTAAAAGTAGCGTAGCTACAGCTAACGCTACAAAAAAAGTAGCGCGCTACTGTAGCGTCGCTACTTGTAGCGCGCTACTTCCCAACACTGGTGGCTCCACAATTTACCAACGTTGGCCCAACCATCTGTGCTACATGGGCGACCACAGAAAGTATACAATGGATGGGAAAAAGAATATAAAATTGCAGATTTCTTGAATCACATTTCCCACGAATGAATTCGGATTGGTCACTCCATCCCAATTAGAAGCACTCAGAACCCTGATCCGAAACCAACAACTTTCTTCGATTCTGTTAAGCCGCTGTTCATTGCTTGTTCCAACATGCTTATGTCAAAACAACTCACCACCATGTGTTTCTTCTTCTTGGACACTCTAAGGGGTAGTTTCAGACTGGCAGCGATGAGTAGAGTTTCTCTGACAGTAAGGTAGTCTAGCATGCTGAACTCTTGCGTTATGTAGCAAGACTGCTTCTTCAGTTTGCTAGTGCTCCTGGGCTCATCTCCAACCATGATAGTTCCTGACAGATTTTGAGGGGATCTGAAAAATGTGTATTACTGTATAGAAGCAATGTAAAAGTAAATTACTAAAACGATGGGATACACTTTAATTTGTAGCAATTTTGGGTAGAGTTATAATTTTTAAGGTAGGATGTTGGACACAAGGAAATACGGTATGGGGGTGAATGAAAAATTTTCATCACTGTGGCATTATGTGGGGAAAGACTAACGAAGAAGGTTTTTTTCTCTGTACAATTCTAAGCAATTATGAAAAGCAACTTATACTTTAATGGTGTGCCAATAACAAAATGTCATACCATTAAAGTATGCTCATAACGCAACTTCCCCATAACGCGGAAACTAATTACATAAAGTGATAAATGAAACATTCAAATTTCCAATAGCTAGGCAAATATTATTGAAATAAATCAAAACAACTATCAGAACTTTTTTCAAAGTTTTCAAATTAAATTACTAAGTTTAAAAGTGTGTCGCTAGTCAAAAACTGCATCTTGTGGTAGTAAGTTGTACTAAAAAAAGTAATTATAATTTGATAGAGGATAAAAATTCCTTGCCACCAACGTTTATACGTCTGACGGCTTCACAGTCATTACGATGTTTTAGCTTTGTGTTGAGCTGTTCAAATCAGTTCCATTGTTTGAGACAGCGACACACTCCAAGGTGCGTACTTGAAGCTAAAGATGAGTAAACGATGAGTGTAGAACAGACTGAGATTATCTGTGTAGCTTTGTTACTATAGCTAAAGCTGGATTTTCCTAGGTGCGGAAGTGGAGCGTGAAGAACAGAGTCCACTCCACTCTTGTTAAAAGCCCAATGATATTGGCTCCACAGTTTGAAACCATCAAAAAGCTACTGACTTTTTCCAGGATCGAACCATAAGGCTAAGCTGTTAGTTTACAAAAATGCTGATGATAGAAGAAGAATGACTTACAAGAAGCCAGAGAGAATATCAAGGAGGGATGTCTTCCCTGCGCCTGACGGACCCATGATTGCACTGAGGTGGCCAGGACGGAACCTTCCACAGACACCATCTAGGATAGTCTTCTTGTCAACTGTAACACAACAACAACAATGTTAGCATGGATATAGTTCATATCATAAAAGTTCATTGATATTCGTTGACTAATTTTGTCAAGGAAAATGTTTTGACAAACATTAACAAAACCAACTTTGTTTGTTATTGTCTGCACCATACATGTTATTATGTGTGCATGTTATTACTGTGCTGCTATATAACTACCTAGAGAAATGTGTTTGTAATGAATTCACTATCTGGAATAACTTTTATTTTGGTTTTGTAAACTTACATTGATACTACCAGTTAAAATCCTCGTAAACAAAATGAACTTTAGTGAAATTTTAACATTTATTTACACTGAAGTTAAAATTACTTCTGAAAATGTAATCAAGCGAAGGAAACAAAAGAATAAAAATACATTTAAAATAATCTAAAGTGCTCCTGGATGAAAGGAAACCAATGAATTTAGGCCAAGATAATATTTGTTCTCCAATCGATTTCCCAAACAAAATCAAACTTCTATCGCATACAAACATATCTCCTGGGAAATAATAAAAATGAATAAAAATACTTTCATACCTTCCAGTCGTTTCTTAGAACTATCGTAATTATACAGGGTGTTTTCAATTGGCTGGACATATTTTGTGGACTTGATATTATGGGTCTGAAATACCTAGATTTATGTCTGTCAGTATTTTTGTGATTTTTAAAAGTATTTTACATCTTTAGCATTTTTCAAGATATAAATTTTAAAATTTTTATAAATGTGTAGTTTAGAAGGTAAAAAATGCTAAAAATATTTTGTTCCAATGTCTCAAGCCGTTTCAATATGGCGGCCATTTAAAATCTTTAACGCCAAATTTAATAAAAACCGTAAATATTGAGAGAATATATTTAATGATAAATACCCCCGCCGCAGCAAACCTGACGCCTAAGCGAATTTCCATTTGGCTGAATTGATTTTCAATTGATCTATTTAAATAACATTAGGTTTAACGAGTACTTAGGTTTGCTGCTACAAGGAAACTAATAAAGTGTGTGTTTTAAGTAAAATAATTATTGCTTAGTATAAAATGAATATATTTGCCAAGTTTGATCAAAAGATATCCATAAACAAGCAAAGTACAACATTTTACAATATTCTCCATAAGAATAACATGGGAATTTTAAATTTACCATTTATTTAGTTTTCTCCGTAACCAATAACCGTACAAAAACACTTTGATATACTGAATTGTTTGTTTTTTTAAGCTCTTTAAGAAGGTTTAGAGAAAAATTGGGAAATTTTGTGTTTTGAGGGTCAAAAGTGAGAAAAACCAATTTTTACCCCATAAAACCCTGTTCCCATGGTCCGATCATGCTGGATCGCGAACTCATTCAAGTTTATCCCGCCTTACACCTTCAAACCAAATTTCATCAAAATCGGATAAAAATTACTCAAGTTATCGTGTTCACGGACACACACATATATATATATATATATACATATATAAAAATTTGAACGAGTGGTGTTTTTGGCCTCTGGGGACATCAAAATGAAAAAGTAAATCGGTCCCGGGCCTAAGTCTTACCATGAGACCTACGGTAATAGCTACTTCCCTATAGGGAAATTCGCTAAAAAGGTAGAGGATTCAAATCCAAATCAAATGAGACCTTGTTTGTTAAAATCAGCTCACAAATAACCAAGTTATCAGTTTTTTCTAAATTGAAGCAATAAAAATATGGTAGTCCTATTAAATTTCGTAACCGAATGTAGAAAAATACTGTTAACTGGGTTGTTAGTTAGCCGATTTTAACAAACAAGGTCTCATTTGATTTGGCTTTAAATCCTCTATCTTTATATAAACAATTCTCTCAATATTTACGGTTTTTATGAAATTTGGCATTACAGATTTTAAATGGCCGCCATATTGAAACGGCTTGATATATTGGGACGAAATATTTTAAGCTCTTTTTACCTTCTACCAATTTTGAAATTTCTTTCTTACAAAATGCCCAATATATAAAATAATTTAAAAAAATCACAAACAGACCGACAGATATTACTTCATCTATGCCGACAGACAGAAATATAGGCATTTTAGACCCATACTTATAGGCTATGGAATTTTATGTCACTCTTAGCCCAAACAAAAATTCCACAAAATATGTACATACAATCTGGAAACACCCTGTATATTTCTGAAATAAATATTTGGTTGACCAGTTTCTGAAGTTAAAAGAAAATACAAAATATTTAACTAAGTACCGATACTGTATATATTTTTCTTGACTTGATTTATTAAAATACGACATTTTTAAACACACCTTCATCCATGAACACTGTAATGGACAAGGTAATGTTTTGATCACTATTAACAGGTTACAAGCTGAACTATTATCACTTCATGTTTTGTTGAAAGGATCAATATGTAACAATGGAGATAACAGCTGATACATCAACAAGTCCAACAATGACTGGATAATATAATTGCAAATGTCAACACAATTGATCTATAGCTTTGCATTTTACCAGCAAACTGTGTCACCCATACTTTCAATTTACAATTCAATAAAGACTTCTTATTTCGAATATTAACTTGTAGTCTTGTCTGTGATAACATTACTATTGTACATTACAATACTATTGTAGCATTACTATTGAGTACCGGTATTGTTTAATGATAAGTATTAATTAATTACTTGTACTTTTTAAATTATATATACTATTGATTATACATTATTAATTAATGTAGTTAACGGAATGAGTAATAAAAAGTATGCAGTACAATGTACAATGGGTTTACCAAAAGTGTTCAACAAACGACAAAATTGAGTATTAGCCTTTTCAACCTCACCTTCAATCTTTTAGAATTTTACAATGGACTATGTAATACAGGATTTGCGCTAGCTTAACCTAAGAGTAGATAGTTCTGCATAGCTCTAATAACAGCTATGTAGCTATGTTGAAATGTATAATAGGATGGCTCTGCAGGTTCAAGGACTGTAATGAGAATGTAATTGGCGTAAATTACAGGATAAAAACTGCCTGACAGAACTATTTAACTAACTCTGAACATACTAATAGTGGTGTATGAATAAAGTACACGTGTAGTTGCTTTCGTCCTATGAAATTAGTTACTTCATATCAAGAATCAAAATTAAAAATACGATCAACAATTTTTTTCTGAACTTGATGCAAAATTTAGGAGCCAGTCGGTGAGACAATTATGATTGTGGCCATTTAACAGTTCAAGGACAGAGCCTCAAGTTCAAGGCCAATCTTCATCCCAATTCTCGTTTGATCAAATTCCCCGCGTAGAGTGGGGGAGCTATGAACGAAAATTGCCATTATGTTCATCGTTCATTATGTAGCCTAAAGACCTGGGACAGGGAAATCGAAATGCTTTTTACGCCACACTACATTATTTTGACGCACTTCCCACGCAAGGATTTAGTCCAGAAAACAGCTGTTTGCCGCCAGCTTATTCAAATGGGGTTTCATTGCGTACTACTGTTCTGCAATGAGTTTTGCCGGACACCAATCAGCTGATTATACTGTATTTGCGTGGCAATTAGTGGTTATAAACAAAAACATAACCTCTCTCAGAGGTTATGACTAGTGATTTTTAGTCCTTTAGTTGATGGAAATATATAAGGATTTGTACGGATTAAGTAGTATGGCGTAAACTATCGTACGTAACTCGTCCCCGACTTCGTCTCGCACGGGAACGACCACACTCGTCCGGTAAACACTTATTTTCAGGACTAGTAACGTAATCTATTATACAGGGTGTCCCGGAACTCTCTACCAATATTTTATGGCATTGCTCCTGGGTAAGAAACATACCTAAATATCATATTAAAATTGTCCGGAAGTCCTTAGTTACTCACACAGCCGCCATTTTGTTTTTTCAGTTATTAATTTTTTTTTAAAGAATGGTTAAACATATGAAATTGAAACTTTGCACAAACATTTATGACAACTAGACAAAGCTACAAAAAAAATATGGCGATTTTTCATATTTATAAAATAAAATGGCGGCCATTTAAAAGTTTGTTTCTTAATAACTCAAAAACCGTTGATTTTATAAAAATTTTAAATGGCCACCATTTTGTTTTATGAATTTGAAAAATCGTCATAATTTTTTTGTAGCTTTGTATAGTTGTCATAAATGTTTGTGCAAAGTTTCAATTTCATATGTTTAACCATTCTTTAGAAAAATATTAATAACTGAAAAAACAAAATGGCGGCTGTGTGAGTAACTAAGGACTTCCGGACAATTTAAATATGGTATTTAGGTATGTTTCTTACCCAGGACCAATGCCATAAAATATTGGTAGAGAGTTCCGGGACACCCTGTATTATTAAAGTGATACAACCAAATCTTATGTAAACGGTTAAGGTCATTTACCAAATTAAAATATAGGCATATGGCACATCAAAATGAAGCTAAGAGTGTGTAGATTTGCCGAAAAGTATTGATATGGACGGATTTCCTAAGGGCTCTGCCCCACAGGGTGATTTCCAAGGGGCTACACCTGGCATGCTTCAAAGTTTAAATGATTTAATTTAATTTAGGTAATGAAACAGCTGGTCAGTACAATGAACTGGTGTTTGTTTATTTACTGAAAAAAATGTTTGTGGCGCTATATGTAGATTGAGGAGGGTTATGTTTGGTTTTAAAGTGGGTTGTATATGTTTTAGCGAATTTCCCTATAGGGAAGTAGCTATTACCGTAGGTGGCACGGTAAGACCTAGACCTGGGACCGATTTACTTTTTCATTTTGATGTCCCCAGAGGCCAAAAACACCATTCGTTCAAATTTTTATATATGTATATATATATATAGACATATAGACTTATATATATATACGTCCGTGAACGCGATAACTTGAGTAATTTTTGTTTAAAGGTTTAAAGCGGGATAAACTTGAATGAGTTCGCGAACCAGCACGATCGGACCATGGAAACGGGGCTTTACGGGTGGTTTTATGGGGTAAAAATTGGTTTTTCTCACTTTTGACCCTCAAAACACAACATTTCCCGATTTC